TGATTTTTTGTTTCAATTAAATCTATTATAAAAGTCATTAAAATATTTTTGAAAATTTTATTAATAAAATCTTAGCTGTCCTATTGTATATAACAATTTTTTTAATGTATATCATAAATGTATCATAAAATTAGTTTTCGGAACTCATTATAAATTTTAATAAAAATGTAACAAATCTAATGAAATATAAAATTGTTAATTATATGATTACTTGGAAAATTTTACTGCATCATCAGAAACTACATATGTATATATGTATGTACATGAGAAGGAATAGGAATGTGGAACTGTTATTGTTACATAAATACATTAGAGTAGAATAAAGAATTGTTAATTTTTACAGTTAACTAAATCTGTTATCAATTGTTCTTTCAATTAATACTTGCAAATTTTTACCTTTCGTAGGTAAATTTTTAAATTCACAAAATGCAATAAAAACAAAAAGCAAATTTTCCATTATCCTTGATTATCAAATTTTTAATTGATGTAATGCTAAATCTTATATAAAAATCCTAATACTAATAAAATAATACTATGCAGACAATATTACAATTTTCGTAAATTAGCACGAAACTCCTCTATACTTGATAAATAAGAAAACAAAAATTCCATCCGACAATTTTTAATGAAGCCAATTTAAGGCTATAAACAAAACTGAATTTCAAAACACAAAATAACATTCACAATGGTAATTACAACTGAATATAAATTTTGATAAACATCATTGTTATTTATAAATATTTGTCTTGCAACATTGTTTTCATATAGCAAATAAAAGTACGGAAACAAAAAAAATAATCTTACATGCGGAAGTACAAAAGCTTTTTAAAATACTATTATGAATTCAAAATAAATCACACACACACACTTTTGTAAAAATTTCTGCTAATAAAAGCTCTCATTTTTATTTAGAAAATAAAAGGATAGGGGTGAAAAAGCCGATTTTTGTAAATAAATAATTGAAGTTACTTTATGGTTTAAATATTTTATTTTTATTTTTATTGTTTACGTTCTTATTTACCGTTCTTTTGATATAATACAATAGAATCGAGATTATTATGAATGTGATTTTGATATTAGTGTATATATTTTGTAATTATTGTAAGTTCTCGGCTTATAAGACGTCACCTTGTCAAAATAAATCAACTGAATTTCTGAATTGAAAAACTACATATGTATTACAAAAATATGGTATTTTTATGTTATCCGCCAGCTGAGCATATGCGCGCCCACATAGTGAAACTCCTTACATAATTTTTGCCTTTCTTCCACTATCTAAAATATATTATCGAAATTGAATGTAATACAAGTTGATACACATTGAATATTATCCATTTAAAATTTTAAACTATGTATGTACATATTTATAAAGAAAATTGTGGGTTCTGTCGTCATTGTTTTTATCATTCAAATTTTTATAAACATATCATTCACTCTTGTAGCCATTATTATAAATAAACTGTCAAAAATAGCTGTCATTATTCATAACAATTTTATATGGAAAGAAATTCGACGCCATCATTGAAAAAAATTAATGATACGCAACTGTTTATCATTCAATAATTTTTTCTGTGATGAAAAAATTGTTATTACATTCACTTTCATTCACTTTTTTTCAACAATGTTGACAAAGTCCTGTATTGGGATTTGAGCGCACTAACCGAGTAATTATGAACAATTACAAAAAAATATTTCCATGAAAAGTGACCAATATATTCAGACTCTACTGTCATTTTAAAAGCACATTGCTGAGAACATAATTTTTATTTACACACTTTTATATTTACCTGAATACTGCTTTAAATTATACTATAATAACTGTACATACATTCATAAATATGTTTAACATCCTTCAAAGAAAAATATTGCCTATAAATGTATTTTGTATTTTAAATATGAAAATTATTATTTTTAAAACCAATAAATATTTATATGTATATATACATGTATGTATATGTAAATGTATTGTAACGTATATAAGTAAATTAAAAATAAGTTTCTTTTTTTTTTTCTGTGAAATTATTATTTATTTAATAAACGCGATCCGGAGGGTATTTCATTGGTTTCTAATTTAATATTTATTGTATACATAAATAAAGTGAGTACATAATTAATATTTTTATAATCATAATTTCTTTTTTCTTTTATTATTTTGTTTTTGTAAAATATTTTCAAGGTAGGTATATAAACAGTTAATAAATAATGAATTAAAATTAAAATTCATACAAGGTCAACCACTTTAACTTAATTAAAAATTTAAATAATATTAATTTAATTTGACATAATTAATTGGATAAGTAATAAATTTAAGAAATTATTACTACTTACCTAATATTATAAAAATTAAAGTTAAGAAATAGGCGATTTTTGCCACGCATCGAACCTCTTAAATGTGAAATAGAATTGATAGCAGCTAGTATTAACCGAAGAATTTGTACAGAATCACTACACCACAATCAATCCAAAAGTGTAGAGTCAGAATTACATAGTATCAATCCAAAGATATTTATTTGTTATTTCATACAATTATATGAAGGTGTTATATGGGCCAAATCATGTAAAACTAAAACACAATGAAACTACAATAACAGTAATTTCGTGATTTTACTCCAAATTAATGATCAGCTCATCATTTATCCTACTAAAATATTCCAAAGAAAAATTTAAAGTCATAATTCAAGTTTTCGTTCTAGATTTTTATTAAACAACAATAAAGTTTATATGTAGTTCTATAATTTTATTACAATTCAGCTTGTACAAGCATATATTACAATCACATGTTTAAACAATTACGCCCGGGCGGCTATGTAAAATATCTGTTATCTCCACTACAATTGTACAATTTCTGGAAAAAAAAATACCAAAAAGTATAATACAATTTTTTACTACAAAAGAAAATTAAAATTTAAAACATAAAACCTTTCTCAATTTACAATAAAATATCTGTGAAAGAAATTAGATTCAATAAACTTTGAAAACTTTCAATAAAAATCTATAAAGTTATCAATTGAATAGAATTTTAAGAGTTTAAGAACACAAACAATAAAAGAAACCTATTATGTTTGAAAATTTTCTTTGTCTCGACTACCAAATTAATTATACAGCAAATAAAACACACAATTTTACAAGAATAAAATTAAATTGAATAATTTAATTACGGTACAAGTCAGCATTACACAAAACTTATAACAGCTGGACATCGTTTTGTTTTTTTCTTTGGTTAATAACATTATCCAAAGTATCGGATACTAATTAAGAAAATTTTTTTTTTACAAATAAAATTACCCACATTTTTTTTCTATTATTACATATAAATATATATATATGTACGCTACATATGTACACAGAGGGTGTGCAATACCAGTACTACTATCCGATGTTCTAGAACCTTTTAGCTATTGGTTCTATATATATTTTTATTTTCCCCTTATAACTAAGGAAATATTTCAAGTAGAAATAAATGAAGAACTCATTTTAAAGCTCATTATTCCAATGGCAAGAACTTTCTCAATTTAAGAAATATTTAAGTGCAAAGTAATATTTTTAATAAAATTACTCCTCACTAACTTCTTAGAAGTTAGATTTTTATTCTCATTTTCATAAATTTAATAAACACAAAATATTTTCAAAATAATAGCACGCCTTAATAACATTTATCAAAATTTTCAGATTCCATAAACTTTGGTGTCACAATTCTATCACTCTGCTTTCGGAGTACCACCTAGTCCACCAAATCTCGAACACCCTATATATCATGGATATTGCGTATTTTTTTTTCTTTTTCAGGACACAGATGTTTTAAATTATTTTGAATTAAAGGTAAAGAAAAAATGGTTATCCTAAAACATAAAACAATTGAAATTCTTAATTAAATTAGAAGATTAACAGCAAAAGAAAAAAGGATTTTCGTAAAAAATAACTTATTCCATATTATCTGAAGTCACGTTTATTTTACTTTAAAAAGAAATAAATTCAATTAATGGAAAATATTGGACGTTATCATCAAATCTAATTTTTCCATTTCAATGTATTCAATTATTCTCATTCGATTTATATATATTTCGAAAAACTTTAAAAATATATTCTGTAATAATATAATATAATATAAGATAATTTTCATCATCATACAATTCCCGTATAAGCAGAAATTTCCAAAAAAAAAACTAAGATGTAAAATAAACTAAGATAAATTACAAAAACCTATTTAATTAAAAAAAAATATTGCTTTAAAGATAGAATAAAACTGATTTTGAAAATTAAAGAGGCTTGTTAAATAAATGTTATTTAATTTATTTGTATCATAAGAGATTAGAAAACTAGAAACCCTCATTAATTTATTTTTAATTTAGTTTAGAAAACATATATTTCGTATACGGAAGTATTTGGAAATAAATTATGTTTTATTGTTGTAGAATCAAGAGGTTTATAGTAAATTGAAGAATATATTTAATTAATAATCTCTTAATTCTCAACATTAACATATCCTGTTTCTTTAAAACTTTAGAATTAGAATTTTCGAGGCCCAGGATATGTTAATACAGAATATGATTAATTTCTATTTTTAAATTATCTGAGGTTTCGTTAAATACAAGGAAATCTCAGATAATTTAAAAATAGAAATTTAATGTAATACTGGGACAATATATTTTAAATAAAAATATTCATTCAAATAAGCTTAAAATTAAATAACAAGAAAAAATGATTTGTTTTTAAAATTTTTAATTTATTTTAACCATAATTTCATTACTTTTTTTTTTTACTTTAATTTTTGTCTCATTATAATTTAATTTAATTGTGTCTTAAATATATTTTTCTGTTTTTCATTTTAAATAACTTAATTTTAATAAATATTAATTATTTTTTTTAATTTATTCTTTTTATCAATAATAATAATAATAGTTAATAATAATAGTAAAAAAATTTTAATTAAAATGGTAATATTAAAAAATAATAATAAAAAAAAAATAAAAAAAGAATTTATTTCGAAAAATTTATTAAAATCAAAAAATTTATTAAAAAAATTTAATTTTTATAAAATAAAATTCAATTACTACTTGAAATATATAATTTTTTTTAAGAAAAAGCAAATTTTTTTCTTTTTTAACTTTAAAAGGTTTCTAAAAATATTTCTTTATTTTTTAATTTAATTTAATTTTATAAGCTCGATTCTGAATTTTCTAAAAAAATTTCTTAAATAGTTTAATTTATGTAGGACAGGAATAAAAATATACTTTAAAAACAGAAAAGTGTTCGTTCTGTGTTTCGGCGACTGTAATGCAATGTCACATAAATATTAACAAAAATACCAAAGTTCTTTGCGGTAAGCCGAGTCACAATTTATTTAGTTTTTTTTTTATACTACTGCCCTCCTAGGAGGAGCATACGGCTGACATGATAATTGTAAATAGAAACGAACCAGTTTCGGGCGTCATTGAATTAACTAGGTAGGTGACGAGCCTATTCAATTAAGATAGAGCAAATAATGTATCTGTAATGTATATATAAAATGATATATTACATCAAATGTAATGTATATAAAAAAATTTGGGTAATGCAATAAAGCTCTTGCATCTTCAAATTAAGTTAAAATCTATAATTAAATATTATGCATAAAGCCAAAGTGATTTTGAGAACATAGAGTTTATTAAGAAAAGAATTATATTTTGTAAGTCAATTTTTTTAAGTCATTTAGAAAAGAATTACCAGTACCCGATAAGTTAACATGTTTTGCAAGTAGAATTATAAATCTAATGGCTTTGCATACGACTTAAAAGAACACATTTACAATTGTTTTTAAAAATTGTGCATTACAGCACTACTTTTCCATTTTATGTTAAATGATGAAAAATTAACAATAATACAAAAAATGTTTAAAGTTAAAAAATTAAAATAATTTATAATTTATACAATTAAATATTTGCGTTTGGAAAATAAGTAACTATTTTTTTTTTATCATTTATATTATATTTCATATTATGTAGCTTTCTTTTCTTTTTTCGTATGAGGAAATACACTTTCTAAAATTTTTCAATTTTTTTTTTTATAAATTTGTACACAATTTTTTTTCCTTTTCTTTTCATTTACTTAATTATTTTTATAGTTTTTATTTTAAAATATTATTAAATATTAATTAGTATTAGTATGATAGAATATCACTTTTTTTAAAAAAGATTTTTTTTTTATATAAGTATATCGAAATTTACGAAAATTATTTATTATAATTTATTTTATTTTTTCTGTATTATTAAGTAAAATTTAATTATTGCTTATATTCCTTTTTGTTTAAAAGATTTAATATAATTTAACGATTTTAATTTATTTCTATTCATTTTAAATTTTATTATTTTTGAACTGCATTTAAAGTTCTTCTTCTTTTTTTTCAAAATATTATAAATTAGAACCAAGAAAATTAGTAATGAAAAAGCAAAAATTTTAATTCAAAACTTATTTTATAGAATATAATTTAATTTTACATAATAAGAATATGAAAATAAATTTAGAGATTGAGACTAATAACATAAAATATCTTCAAAAATCAAAATAAAAAAATTAATTTAAAAAATTAATTAAAATAGAAAAGGAAATTTTATTGAATCTTAATAAAAAACAAAAATCTAAAAGTTCCAATTCCAATTTTACTTAGTTGTACTTTTAATTGAACAAAACTAATATTTGTTATCGATTAGTTAATTCAATCAATTTATTTTAATAATTTTAAAAATATTTTATATTTTTTTATTAAACGATTAAACTGTTATACATTTTAATATACAAGTTTATGTAGATATTAAGTAAAAAAAAAAAATTCAAATAATTACTTAGACGTAATTTTATTTAATTTTATTAACAAATTTTAATGTTCTATTGATTTCTCTATCAAAGTAATAAATAATTTCTGTGTATTCTTATTTAGAATTCGAAATATTCATATTTTCAACATTTTATTATTTTTATTTTTTATTTATCTCTTTTTATAAAGCCTTATATTTTTTATTAATTATTTTGTGCAAAGAAATTGAGAAGATTGAAATTAAATTAAAACATTATTTTTTTTTTGGGGTTTTTAAAGAAAAAACCCGCATTCAATAAGAAAAATATTTTCTTACATTTTTTTTTTTTTTTTCAAAAAACCACAGCCAAAGTACAATACAATTATCTTTAATATTATAATTTTTGAGTTTTTCGATTTTACGTTTTCTTTAAATATTGTTGTTTAAATGCTAAAAGCTAAATCGAAAAAAAAAATAATTTTAAATTACTCATTCTAAGTAACATGCTTAAAAATTGGTTGCAATTTTGTAATTTATATTATTAAACAAATATGTTAACTTATATTGTCATAAACTGGGTACAGTATATTATTGAATTTTTTTATAATTGTCATATATTAATATTTTAATTGTTTTAATATGTATTAAAAAATTTTTATCAAATTTTATTAAATAATTTATAACTCTTAAGTGCGTTAGAAATTCATTTTTCTAACCAATAGAGTTACAATTTTGTTTAAATTTATTTAAATTTATTAATTATTTCAATGTATATAATTATCAAAAATTTTAAAAAAATTGCAAAACTTTGAATTTTTATAAGTAATATAATGAAATATGAAAATTCCTAGTTTTTTCTTTTATATTACGAATTATTATTAATAGCAATAAGTAGCAAGGGTCAAAATTTCGTAAACCTTTAAATTGTAATTCAATGTGATAATTTTGTTTAAAAAAAAAAAACAATTGCATTTTAATGCAGAACAAACTCTGAGCTAAATCATATAAGGTCATTGTCTTTATAAATTTTAATTGATTTCTTCCATTAAAAGCCATTTTGAAGACAAGAATTACTTTTTTGTTGTAATGAAATAATTTTAACAAAATTCAATTCCCAAAAGTTTTTATTTAATCAGATCATATTCATTTTGGCACAACAACATATTTTTTTTTTTCCTTTTTAATATATATTTAAAAAAAAAAATTAATTTTTTTTTAATTATTTGTCAAGATATTGAAATTCACTATTTTTTAAGTTTTTTGTTTTTGTTTTTTTTTTGATAAAAATATATCACTTGATCTAAATATATTACAAATTTATTATTAAAATCATTTTATTAATAAATATTTATTCAACGATTTACAATAATTATTTTTTAAAACAATTTCAATAATATATATTACTTAATTGAAATAGTTATTGAAGAAGAAATTGTACATATTTCAATATATTTTTATGCATATACATATATGAATTTATTTTTTCAAATTATATTAATATTTAAATTTTAAATCTGCCAGATAATAACCATTTATTCTTCAACTTCTCATTTTCTTATGCAATAATTAACCATATACTTTACATTTCTCGCGAAAATTACTTATGCGGTCGTCTAATTACCAGCAACGAAAAAAAAAATCAATTGTTTTTTTATATAAAAATTTGACGATCAAAGCTCATATTTCATTTCATAAACATTAATTGATATTAAATAAATAAATATTAACAAAAAAAAAAAATTAATATCTAACAATATTAATTATAATTATAAGTAATTAATAAGTAAGTGAAGATTGTTTTAACTCTAAAATTAATTCAAAGTTAATTTTAGTTTGAATTTTTGGTTTTATTGAAAAAAAAAACCATCATAGGACAAGAAAATTAAAAAAAAAAATGTGCTAGAAAAATATTGTGTTTTAATTTTTAAATTGAAATTAAATTCTATTTAGTTAATATTGAGAATTTCTTAATAAAAAAAAACAAAAAAAAAAAAAAACAATTTATTATTGGTATACATAACAAAACAATGTGTTAACAAAAAAAACCTAATTGAATTCTTGGCTTCATTTATAAATAAAATTTTCTTATAAAAAAAAAAACGCTAATATATTATATACTTTTTTTATTTTATCCTCCTATCAACTTAATGTTTGGATCTGGAAATTTCATCCACGTTTTTTATCATCAAATTACTTTTATAATTTTTGATTTTTACATCTTAGCGACATTCCAAACACTACGCTTTTTATTTTTTTACTTTTCAATTATATATTCTGGTTCCAATTGTCTTATTTCATTAATTTTTCTTAATACAATTTTAGGACAATTTTTTTTTTCTTTTCTTTTTATAAATTAATTTTTATTGTATCATGTTTTTTGTTTTTACTACTATACTCAAAAAAAAAAAAAATCCTTATTTTTCTTTCCTTATACATATTTACTTTTCTTTTATTAAATTTTTTTCCTTTTGTTTTTCCTAAAAAAAAAAATTTCTAACGTCTCGGACTTTCATATTCATCAGCAAATGATTCAGCACGTGCAATTTTTAAACTATTCGTACTGGAACTTTTACTCAAATAATATGTGCTACCATTTGATGCACTCTTTTTTAATTGATGTGATCGTTTTGATGGCGGCGATGATGTTTCATAATTTGAATCATGTCCATTTTCTGTTGCATCATCCCAATGTTCATCTTCATCATCGGTATCATTATCGTCACCGCCGTTAACAGAACCGCTTGGACTACTTGGTGGGCTTAATGCTTGCATTATTTTACCCTTTGATTCATTCCATATATGACTTAATCGTTCACGTCCAAAGAATAATAGGAAAGCATCAATTAATTCACGTGATTTCTCTTCCCATTTACCAATGATATCTTCTTTAACTTCATTCATAACACGCTTTGACCGATCTTTTAATTCATCCATTTTATTTTGTAAACGAAATTTCTTTTCAGATAGGAATGATACATTTAATTCTTTACCAGAATAGCCTCTAGCCAAATTACGTCTTACATATATATCGTAATCTTTAACAATACGTGCAACAATATCAGATGTTGAAACACCTAAAAAAAAAAAAAACGTAAATTAATAAAATAGACTGTTTAATTGATAATTGATAATGTTTTGGTATAAAATAAAATTCAAATATTTTTGTTACCTTCTGTGCGTTGAGTAGCAACAAACATTCCTTTAGCTTTTAATGGTGCATAAATATCTTCAACACCATCACCTGTATATGGAATGTCATCGTGAGCAACAAAATCAATTTTATGGTATTCAATAAATTGATCATCTAAATTCCATGGAGCATCTGGAACCACCTAAAAAAGTAATTGAAAACAAAAATCAATCAAATGTTATAAAATTTTTTGATATGAACTTGAGTTGAACCACATGTTCAAATATAAGTATTATTTACCTCATCAACATAACGGCAATGCCGTACAGCTTCATAACGTTCTTTATCAGTCATAACAGTTCGACCTTTTTTACTATGTGTTAATTCATCACTACAAACACCAACAATTAAATAAACATTTGGGAATATATTTTTAGCCTAAAATTTAAAAAAAAAAAAAAATGTAATGAATTTGTGAGCCAAATAGAAATGAACATCTTCATCTAAATAATTCATCTAAAAAAAATGGAATTTACCTGCATCAATTGCCTTGCATGACCCTGGTGGAATAAATCATAAATACCATCGGCATAAACTCTAATACGACGTGGTGTATTACCAGATTTTGCCATTTGAAGTGTAATTTTTTGTGCGTAATTACAACGTTCACGTTCTCGTATAGCATCTTCTTCAGTTGAAAATGGAGCTGGCTTACAAATTGTCTAAAATAGAAATAAAAAGTTTTAAAAAAATTAATATTTTTTTTTTAAATAAAATGTAAAATGTTTTACATTGTTTCTTGTGAGTTCAGAAGAATAAAACATATTTTTACAATTCATTTTTACTAAAAAAAAATTGTGATTTAAACAGTAAAATTTTCTTTTTTTTTCAGTGTTTTAAAAATATTATGCAGAGAGTATGCAGGTATTAGGGGATTCAATTCTTAAAATAAAACTCTAAAATAACACAATTTTTGTAATGAATGATTGTGAAAACAAAAATAAAATAATTTTAGTCAATGAAATAAATTAATTTTTTTTAATTTCTGAATTTTTTAATATAACAAAATTATTTACTTAACTACTAAGTTTCAAAAAAAATTTTTTTTTTAAATTATTCTAAAAGTGAAACGAAAGCAAAGATATCAACCAATTTTTTTCAAACTAATTAATTTATTTATTTAATTAAAAATAAATAATTAAAATTAATTAATTAAAAAAACTCCGATATGATGAACAAAAAAAACAACAAGGGATTTTTAATTAGAATTTAGCTGAGTGAATGAAAAATTTATGAATAAAGATGGTGTAATCAATAATGTAAAATGCTGGTATGCAGTTAGCAAAAACATAGTAACTTTTAAAGTTGTCAATAGATGTCTACATTTGTAGTGTAAGCGATAATAATTCCAAAAACAAATGTCATGTAATTAATAATGTCAATTTGTTTTGCAAAATGGAAAATTTTGAAGAGAATAAGTAATTTTATTTAATAAAATTTCAAAAATAATTTATTGCTAAAGCAATTGTTAATTGATTGCATACAAAAAGTTATTTATCGCCAGTTGGTAACTGTCAGATGCAATTCTTGTTGAACAGTATTTGACATTATCGATTACATCGTGAAAGTAACAAATGGGTAAGAAGAAAAAAAATAAATAAATAAGTACAAGTATTTGGATGGTATTTATTAATTATCTAACTTAGATTGATGATGTAGTAAATTAATATAGGTATGTGGGTGCTAAATTGTTATTTTTTAACTGTTTTTGAAAATGAGCATAACAATTATTATGAATTTAATAAATAATAAATAGGAGAGCGATAAAAAAAAAATATATAAAAGAAAAAGCAATGATTTGCATTTAATTTGCTGTTATAGCAATAAGATAACATTATTTTTGCATAAACATTGAGTAAATAATGTAAAAATGTAAAAAAAAATTTTAAATATTATTTTATATGAATTTCATAAAAATCACACTACAACATAATAATAAATACTTTTCGTATATTTTTGAATACAAAACTAAAACTAAAAAAAAAAACTACAAAACAAAAAACAGAAAACAGTTCAATAACAACAATGTACCTTATCGTAATTTTCAAGGTCCGATACTGTACTAGACCCCTGAAAATATATATACATATACACATAAATTTCATTTTTAAAAATAAAATTAATAGAAAATTATTAAATTTATTTTTAGGTTTGAAAATATTTTCTAAATAACAATTCCAATAATTGTAGCCTAATTTCTCATAAATAACAAAAAAAATTTCATTCTTTAATAAGTGTAAATAATATTAGCAAATCTAAGTTAACAGTGAACACTATTTACCCGAAAAGGTTTTTCTAACAAAGCGTATATTGTATATTCAATTGAATGACACGAAAATCTATTCTAAAATTAGTTTAATTATTTAATTATATTTTTAAATATACAATAACAAACAATATTTTATTGATTTAATAGGCATTATACTCGTATGTTATAATGGTATAACATTTGTATGTTAAGAACAGATTTTATGTTACGCTTATTTTTGACATTTCACGAATCATTCCAAATTGTAAATTACAAGTACATATTTAAATTTTATTAACATTAATAATAATCCTTTAATAAATAATAATTAATTTCTTTAATATTAATAATAGCTTAAAAAATATTGTTATGGGTTTTCGTTGACTCAGTTCTAAAATATTTCTAACTCGTACCTCTACAATAGTTTGAAAATTGCTTACAATAAAAATTAAAAATATAAATTGCTCGGATATTACTCGCTGTAATAAAGTGCATTCGGCAATTCATTTTGTAATAAAGAAATTTTTCACTGCCGCATAAAATTTTTTGTCTTACTAATATAATTTTTGAACGATTGAAGTTTTTGCATACTATTTAACTCGCTTCGACTTAAAAATGTACAATAATATAGAACTTTCACCGTAGCGTGCATAAAAGAAAACGTTCATCCTATAAAATATAATAATTTGATTTTCACCAATATTCACGATCCAAAATTTAAAATTTCATTCAATTAATAAAACCAAATCTATTCTAAAATATTCGTTTTAAAACATAAGAATTATTAATTGCGTTATGCAACGCAAATAAAATAAAACCTTCTCCAAACACTTAAACTAATTATATAATACGAGATAAAAGAAAAAGGAAAAATAAATTAACGAAAAAAAAAATTTATTCAAATGGATTAACAATTTCAAAATTATTATTATAAAAATTCGATTCTGAACAATTCTAAAAATAATAAAAACAGAAGATTATCTTTTAAATTTTCAGCTCCAACAAAATTAATTTAAAAAATTCACAATTAATTAATAAGAATTTCCTCCTTTCCTTACACATTTCTTTTATCTTATCATAAAATTTGATTAGAATAAGTTATACTAGATTCATAATACTAAAGTCGGTAATTTAAAAAAAATTGTTATTAAAATAAAATGAAAACAGGGGCTTTTTTTTCTAATTTTCTTATCAGTCTTATAATTTTAATAACATCAAAAGAGTATTTTTACCCCTTTTTTTGTAAAATCTATTAATTCTTAGTACTTATAATTAAATTTTGAACATCCGATATTTTTATGAATATATTGTTATCAAAATTTTTTTTTTATTATTATAAATTTGGATTAATAATTTTTCAATTGAAAACGCATGACAATATTCTCATATACGTCCTGAATAAGTATGTACTTATTTTCATTCAGTAATTTTATAATTTTATATTTTTATTGTTTCTTTTTTTTTATTTCATTCTGAATCACACAATAGTTGTTACACAATCATGAATATTATTTACAATCATATGATTGTAAATAATAATTGTGTACCGAATACTTAAAAATATTGAAATTAAAAGTGGATGTCTAGACTTCGACCATGATCACACCACATCATACCATACATAATCATTTAAAATTGTTGTTCTTTTTTTATTATTTTAAATTTATAATATAATTACTGTTAATAATTAATATTTAATAAATACATGTGTAAATTTTGTTTATTTATTTGTTATTTTTTTTTTCAATTCTTATCATAGTATACATTTAGTATATTTTTAATTAAAGAAAATATAGAGAAAACAATTCAATTAGAATATTATTTTTGATATTATTAGCGGGAGGCTGGAGACCTATATGGCCCTTTTCACTTCGATCCATAGAATCTTTTGAAATTTACGGTCCATTTATGAGCTGTTCGCGATCCGATTATCTTACGGAAATACAGTTTTAAGATATCAATGTGGGAGAAGTCTCAATCAAAGAGAGATCTGAGAGACATTTTGAAAGAAGTAGCAAAACCCTACTTAATAATTACCATAAAACTTAAAATATGTAAACACTGAAACATCCTATACCTATTTGTAATACAAAATCTTCTCTTATAATCAATTTGGTCTAGAAAAGAATTTCTTAATCATAGAAAAAAGGTTACAAATACAAGCCCCCTGAACTATAAAAATATTTGAATTATTTTTTTTTTTTGCTTCTAAAAAATAATTAAATAAATTATGTGGTAGTTTATTTATTTAGTTTTTTTTTTAAATATCATGTAAACTTCACTAAATTTTATTTATTTTTCATTTCTTAATTTAGTTTTTTTTTTGTTAACAAAATCAACAAGAATTTTTAGTTCATTATCATTTTATATTATTATCATATAAGTACAAAGTACTTAAGTTTTCTGATTCCAGAATCCAGCTGAAATATTTTTTTTTTTTTTACTTAAATAAAGTACCATAATTTTATATTTATATATACTTTGTGTATACTCATCTATTATAAATTTAATACAAATATTATCACAAGTCGAATTCAAAACAAGTTTAAAAATTGAAAAAAAAAAAAAAAATTGCCCGGAAATACCAAGGCAATTATTAAATTTTACGTTAATAAAAAAAATATATATTTTAAATTATATAAGGGATAGTTATTGAAGCTTGTAAAATGAACGGAAAATCAGTTACCAAGCATATTTGTATATAAATATTAATATTTAATTGGAAATTTTGAAATTTATTAAAAAATATTGTTAATATAATTGAAATGAAGTCAAGATGCGGTTATTTTGTAATCGATTTACTTTATTATAGTATGTAGTTGAAATTTTATACGAACTAAATACATAAAAAATTGCTTTTATTTATTGTAATTCATTATTCATGGTTAACTTCACGCCTAATAACTATGTTAAATTATTTAAAAGGTAATCAGTTCAAAATATTGGATAAGCTTAATAATGGCAATTGTAAATACACCTATTCATTTCTTAAAATTATGGTTAACTTATAAGAAATTAACAAACAAATTGAAAAAATATATACATATATTAACCCATTTAAACAAAAAAAGGAATTAAATGCTAAAAGTTTGTATTTTTGGCCAGCTTAAAAATTGCAGTACCATTTGTATATATATATATTTGTATATATTTCATATAGGAATTATAAAACCCTTAACTTGTGTACATTTTATTAATTATAATGAATAATCGATCATGTTCTAAGCTAAGCTTTTAAATATGTTATAATAGTATGAGATAATATTTATTTTGCGAATTAAGTATTAAACATTTGTTTAAATATTGTATAACAAAATTCAACAATAATTTTAAATTTTAAATTAATTTTTAGCGTAATTCACTAAAAATTTAATTATATACGAGAATTACTCGAATATAATGAAAACATACAATAAATATTTAGAAAATTTATACCACAATTTATTAAAAGAATCAAAAATAAATAATTTCAATTAATTAGATTTAATTTTCATTAAATATATAATCAAATTTTAATTAATATGTTTTCATAAACCAACGCAAATATTTTAAAATTTTAATTTATACTTATATATTTTGCTTTTTCTATAATTTTAAAATTAAATTTCATGATTATATCATAGTTTCTTTAACTGAATCACTCATTTGGAATTAAATTCATTGGGAAATCAAGTGATATAGGCAGACAACAAATTTTAAAAATATAAACATAAAATCTTATACATATATGTGTACGTTATTATAATTTCTATATTAGTAAATTTTTACCCACCCATATTACAAGCGATACTAAGTTTTAAATTGAAACAAAAAAAAATATTTGAAAATTTTTAATGTCGTTAAACAAATATAACTGAGTATTAGAAAACGCAAAATTTCAAATATTAAGTACACGCGAACTGAATAGAAAATACAGGCGTAGCAGATATAATAATCATTATAATTCAAAAAATATAATCATTAACAAGTTTTATATTGAGAAATATTAGACCAATAAATTCTTTATAATATTTTTAATTGTTTCTTAATAGCATAAATGATTCAATTTTTTTGAGTAGAACTCAAAAATTATTTATTTAAATTCCCTGTTGATTTAATGAATCATTTGTAATAAAAATAATTAACTTGATAACTATTTAAATATTAGTTAGAATTAGTATATAGCAATTTTTTTTTATATAATTTTCAATATTTAGTACGCAATTTTTTGAAATTCAAATATAATTTTGGATAGTAATCTGGAAAATTTAATCTTAAATCAGAAAAATAATTAAAAATTTTATAATATAATTAATATTTAATGTTAACTAATAATGACATTGAATATGTAAAACAAAGTGCTTAAATTCGGAATTATTAAATGAATTATAATTTTGCAATATCAAATTTTTAACTACACAATTTTGATAATAATAATAATAATAAATACTATTTTAATGAAATTAATAAAAATTGCAATACAATAATAATATTTAACATCAAAAAATTGAATCAATTTATGCTATTACTTTTTTTATGATAATTATTACATTTAGAGAAATAAATTAAATAAAAAATTTAATTACTACAAACTATATGAAATTTTATATTATATACTTACAGGAAAATTAACAGAAACTAATGATGGTATACTATTATTTGTTGTTATAGTATGACCATTATTACTACAATTTAATGTAGAATCATTATTATCATCTAATAATCCAATATCATTATGATTACAATGATGATTATTAATATTTTGATGTTCATCATCTGTATCATTATCACCATTTTGTAAATTACTATTATTATGTAATTGATTTGTTGAAAAATCTGTTGATGTTGTTGTTTTCCTTACTGTTGTTGTTGTTGTTTTAATTGGTAATGTTGATGATGATGTCATTTTAGATTTATTCTTTTGTAATAATGATTTTGATGTAACATTATTACTTGATATACTATTATTATCATTATTTAAACCATTTTGTTTTAATTTTAATTCAATATTATCCATTGATAATTGTTTTTTTAATTGTTGTTGTTGTTGTGTTAAATAATTATTTTTATTATTACCATTAGTATATGAATAATTTGTTGTTGAAATTAAATCGTCATATGGCCTTTTTCTTGATGATACACCTCCTACTATACTACTTGCATTATTTGTAGATGATGATGATGATAATGTTGTATTTGAATTTGTTGAATTTGTTGTATTTGATAAAATCGATGATGCCATATTCTAATTTAAAATTTCTTTTTATATTTATGTATATATATTTTATAAATATATTTATGTATATATATTTATTAATTGCCAATATTTAAATTGTAATTCAATAATTTTATTTTGAATTTTTAAAATTAAATATTTCGTTTGTTTCTTATTATGTGTGCTTCCTTCCTTTAACAAATTTTTGAATATTACTTCGATGACGATATTTTTACACAATGGCTGTACTCGTATCAATTTGAATATAAAATTCTTTCTGCTTTTTTCCAATATTGTTTACTGATTTCAGAAGATGAACTTTCCTTCAACGTGACTTAACAATTTGTTTTGAAATTTAAATTTCAAGTAATCAGAAACGTGAATGCTTATTAATCAAAAAGTTCAGTTTAATTTAAAAATATATGTTTTTGCTATTTTAATTTATTTAAATTAAAAAAAAATTTTAAATTATTTTGAGCTTTTTCCTAATTTGTTTAATAAATAAAGAAAACTTTGTTTGTTTTGTATTTGTATTTGTAGAATTTATTGATCTTCAATGTAAATTCAAATTTCTTCTTTTCAATAATATAATTTATTCCTTTTAGACAATATTAGTGGTGATGCTATTTTTCAGCTTTTTTTTTTAATAATCTAAAATGAAAATAAAAAGAAAAAGAAGGACAAATTAATTTAAAATTCAATTTTTAAATAAATACAGCAATATAGTAAGTATATAGTAAATTTTAAAATTGATAATAATTTATATTTGCGTTTACAAGATTAAAATAGTTAATACTTCAATCATATGTCAAATAGTACGTTTTATAAAATGACAACAAGTACTATTGGGCATTTTTACACTTATATTCTTTCATTGTCATTACTCTCAATATCACTGTTTTTGAAAATATTCAATTTCATCAATTAGATGATTTTTTTATTGACAGATACTAATTAACACGAATTTTAAAGTTGTAACTTTTGCAAAAATATTAATGTATTGCTCGTTTTTCCTTAGCTTTTCTTAGTACTTATTTTATTAAGCGAGAGTGTAAAGAAGGCTTAATCGAATATATAAAAGGAGTTCTAACAAACAATGCTAATTGCGACATCTACTGTACTTATGACACTGAATTGAGAATGTTTTACAAATATTTTTTGAATTTTTTTTTTTGAATAACAATGCTGTCCAAAAGAAAAACTTTCTTAAGTATACACAAACTACATTTTTATTTTACATTTCGTTTTTAATAATTTATCACTGTTAAAAGAATTTCTTAAATTGAAAAATTTTGTAAAAAAATATAGAATTTATCTTATCTTGTGCACTTATAGTACGAGTATATTTGAACAACCCATAATTTCTTTTAAAATTACACCAGTTTTTGGGTACATACTTTTTTTCTCAAATAAAATTCTTACACAACAATAAAATTCTGTTGAAAAATGAAGTAAAACACGTTAGTACATGAAAGTAAATAATTTTTAAATATTTACTTTAGATTTAATACTTTAATTTCAAAATAAATATTAAAATAACTGGTTTTAATTTTTAACAGAATATAAGAGCGAATAGAACTGATAATAATGGAATTTAATTTCAAATAAAGAAGAATTTAAACCAACTGTTGGTAGTTTGGTTTTAAAAATTATTTAACAGTTGTATAACATTTAGACATTAATGCGCGACAAGTGTCAACACTTGTATGACATAATTTTTTTAGAAAAACTGCGATTTGTTCAAAGTCCTATTCTACGTTTATGTAAATTATTTTTCAGCAAATAAATAAAAATTTACTATAATTTTTTATCAAAAATTAAAAACCTACTATTTAAAATAAATTGACTCACAGGCAGCAAATATAAAAAAAACAGGTTTACTTAAAATAATTACATATGTACTTTAATTATATAAAAAAATTGAAAAAAAAAAATGTCAGGAAATGGCAATAAATTCGATATGCATTCTTGCACAATTTAAAAAATGTGGTAAATTTAAATCATTTTTTTTTCTTTGTTTTATTAAACCAGAATTTAATGAAAAACTTACTTATAGTAAGACCAACAAAATTTAGTTGTAGTTAGTAAGAAAAACCTTGCCTGTTTAAAATTATTAATAAACAAATTAACCTGCTTTTGTTATAAATGAAATTTAAGTACAATTTTTAAATGACTGCAAGGAAATGGATTAAGCACAATTTTTGATGAAAATGCAAGGAAATGTGTAATACTCGTAAGAGTTAATAGGTAAAGTTCATTTAATATGACAATATGTTTGATGACACTTTTTATTAAATTATTTTAAAGTAATTTGTAAAATTTTGTTTGAATAACCAGTATCCCTAAATAACAAATGCTAACAAATGTACTGTTCAAATTTTAGTAAATTTCTGGAAACAATTAAATATTCATTAATTTTTTTAGGCTAATTATCATAAATTTATATTTTGAAGTGATAGTTACAATTCAATCTAGGGCATAAAATTCTTAAAATCTCAATTATGAGAAAAAATGTTTAAAGAAATTATTGAACAAAACATGACATTTATCCATGACATTTAATACTTAAATTATTGACATTTATACTACTAAATAAATGACATTGACATAGAATTAGAAAAATTCGGATATAAAATAAAAAATTAAAATAAAAATTGAAAAAAAAAAGCAATAATTTAAAAATTTTTCCATAAATAAAAAAAAAATAATTTTTTAAATTTCGTACAAGGTGCAAGAATACACTTAAGTACACATATGTTGTTTTTTTTTTTAATACTGGTTATTTATTTTGTAAAAATACAAAAAATTACTACTCTTCGTATATCAATTAGCAACAAAATGAACTTGTTTTATTGGCTTATAAGTAAAATTTTGTTTATAATAACAAGAAAAACTTGTTAAAAAAATCAATTAATTTTTATTTGGAATTGAACTCGAATAAGTGCAATTTATTATTAACAAATCTGGTTTTCAGTTTTTTTTTATAAACAACTTTTTCCTATGTAGCTACGTAAATATTATTTTTGACATATCGTGGTTAGCACGTATACGGTTTAGTATGCCACTTGTCGTTCAAAAGAAATTATAATTTTTATAACATAAATTTGATACTTGAAAATATTCCACTTGTTTATTATATAAAATTTCATATTTATTATGAAAAAAAACTTGAAATTAAATAATAAAAGAAAATTGCGGCCGGCATCCAATAACCTGATTTTATATGAGATCAACAATAAAAAAAATATTTGAAAGCAATTTCCGTTTTAAAACTTGTCAAGAGTGAAGTAATTAAAATTTCATAGAAAATTCATAATTTTGAAATTGTATACGAAATGTGCCTAAGTCGAATTTTTTCCATTTTTCAGTTTATTACTTAATTTTATTCTCTACATTTTTATTTACATTCTGTAAAAATTTGGTTAGGGTAACATTATTATTTTGGAAGTTACAGGAAAAAGAGTTAAAATTTAAAAAAAAATTTATTAAAAATTTGAATTTGATTTGCTTAGCCAAATTACTTTTTGTTGATTCTACTTGCTTCCTATTGAAATTTGGTTTGTTTGTGAAGTTATGAATAAAATTGCAAAAAAAATTTTTTTTTCAAAATTCAGTTTTAGCTTTGAACTTAATTTTCTCAAAACACGATTTTTCAGCTAATTATATTATTTTTCTTTTAAACAACAGAAATTAATGTATGATAAACGTGCGAAGTTCAATTTACTTATTGCAAAGGAAGTTTATTTGAATTTATTTTAAATTAATTCAATAATGTTTTCAGGCATAAATTTAACTGGTATTTTATTATGTAGAAAACAATTTTGTTATACAAACGTAAAAATAATTAAGACAGTTTTAATTTTTTCTTTGACCCTAAGTGAAAGCAATTATCAACATTTGACGTTAACAACACTTTGCTATTAATTTTATTTAAATAATTTAAAATTATATTTTACCATTTAACAAAATTCAAAATTCATGCACCACTTCTTCTCTATACACAAATTATAAACTTAATAATTTTATTGTTTTGTTAATAACCAGTCAAAAATTAAACTATTCTAATTCAATCCTTCCAAACAACTAAATAAAATTTTGTTAAATTCAAAGCGTATATTTTAAAAAAATTGAATTTGAAAATTAAAATAGAAAAAAAGAAAATAAAAAATTTCGTCTTAAAAATTTTATTTTAACACTTTTTTCAAAAACACACACATATTGCATTTTATACCAAATTAATTAATTAAATAAGAAAAAATAAAAATTAAAAATCTAAAATTGGAAAATCACCTCTTTTTTGTTTATAATAAATTGAAATAATCTGAAACAATAAATATTTTTTTTTCTCCTTTTTCATCTTTTCCAATTTTATTTTTTTATTTTTGTTTATCAAAGTTTAAAAAAACACATTTGTAATTTTTAAATTATATTGAAAAACAAAAAAAAAACAAAGGAAACAAAAAATAAATAAATCGTTGTAATCAAAATAATCGATTATTCATTTCGATGTTAAATTTCAAAATACCTAATTATAAAATGCAAAATCATCAATGACGTTTATTATTTATTTTTTCCCTTCTTTTGTATGCAAGTATGTGTACAGTCTATGTGTTTGTAAATAATAATAATTACAAATTAATTTTAACCTCATCGTTTAACCCTTTAATGATAAGAAAATTTTTCTGTTTTTGTTTTAGGTTCATAAACCATGAATTTATAATGTTCCTGTAACTATAGTCAAATAAACTTAAAAAAATATATTCAACATAAACATGCCTAAGTTTCATTTAAAGACAATTTAAAAAGAGAAATAATATATGTAAGTATACATACATATGTATATAAAAATAAAATAACTTCCTACATATTTTTCTAAAGAGAAATTCTTTAATTTTCTTCCTGAGTCAAATAAAGAAATTTACAATAGTGACGTAAATTTAAAAAATAATATATAAATGTATACATAATTTTGTAGTTCATTATATTTAAAATCTAAAAATAATTCTTCTTTTTAAAATGAATGAGTGTGTCATGTTAGAAATTTCATTAGAATTTCGTAAATTTGAAAGTACATATAAGTCGATATTATTGATAGTTAAATAATTACAACGTTACAAATTAACAAACTTTATTAAGTGATCATACAGATCTGCTTAGTAAGATTTAGAAGAGCAGTTTAATCAATTAATCAGAATTGAATACTGTGTCATACTCATAAGGGTATGCGGCTGGATTCAAGAAGATGAAGTGGAAGATTCGAAATCAATGAGTTAAAATTGAAGAGTCAGAAGCGGAATCAAAGAATTTATCTCAAAGAGTCGGAGTCAAAGAGTCAGAGTCGAAGAGTCAGACTCAATGAGTCAGAGTCAAAGAGCCAGAATCGAAGAGTCAGAGTCGAAGAGTCAGAGTCAAAGAGTCAAAGTCAAAGAGTCACAGTCAAAGAGTCTGATTCGAAGAGTTAAAACGAAAAGTCAGTGTCCTATATAGAAATTGACAAATAAAAAGCCTACGAAAATATTCACCTGCCTATAGTGTTATTGATATATTATAACGAGAGGGTGCTACATAATTAGACAATACAAAATGCAATACACTGATGAAATATAAAAGACGACAAAAATATAAAAAATTTATTTCTAATGAAAAGAATA